TCCCGTCGGCGGCTGGACGGCCGCACGGTCGCCGGCTGCAGGCAGGTGACGAGGCTGGGCTACCGGTGATCTGTTACACGTGTCATGAGATCGACTTTGGCGTCGGTCAGATGTCCTTACTTGGCAAGTGACTGCCAAAGCGGACAATCAGACAAACCGATTTCACTTGATGTCGAGAGCAGCTATGCTTGTCTCCTCTCTAAATCTGGATCGTGCCGGATGATGACGGGATGACGTAACCGGCTTAATGTCGTGACATGCAACAGCAATAATCTGTGAGTTTCATTGATTTGGATCGCAGCACGTTCAGCGTCTGCCAGTCTTTCAAACAATGAGACGACATTCGCTGGCCATTTACGGTTCTCGGAAGCCCTTCTGACATGTGTCTCGCATAAATCCGAGCAAACAAGCCTCTTATCAGAATATCTCATATCGATATCAGAATTCATGGATTGTGCCTTTGGACAAGTGGTTGTCGTACGATGTATGTCCATACGTCTGAATTATGCACATGGCCTCAAGGCTGACTTTTATTAAGAAGAACCCTACAACCTTTGAGGTAATGTAAATTACACTCTGTAACCCCGATAGCTTCATCTCGGCACTTTGCTCTCGAGTTCGGTCAGAGTAGGCCTGCTAGATCTCCTGGCTCTCCTAGATCTCCTTGCTTCCGAATCCCTGGGGTAAGTGGGTCGGTGTCGGTGTTAAAGTAAACTATTTCGACGAGCGACTTCCTTCTGTCTTTTGCGAGCGTAAGCTGGAGAGTGCTTCCGATTGGATTTAATGGTTTTTGCGTTTTGCCTCGGACATGTACTTGACGAAAAAATATTAGTGTTGAGTTGTCATTTTCCAATCGATTAACTATAACGGGAATAATTTACTTTCTTTAGCCGTCGTGTGCTGGCAGTCATACCCCATCGTGACATATGTATAATTCGTGACTTGATGTAACGATATTGTAGTATGTCCTTGCACCTTGTTCAAGTTGTGCTGTACCCTCATTACTTTCATATATTTGTAGGGAACGTTGGTTCGGTTTAGCCTCCATGCAAAGCCCAGCGCACCTCTTGGTGGGCTGGGCTTTGTGGTGACCTCACCGCCCAAGTGTAATGTCCATCAATGCCGGGTATTTGCTCCATAGGCGCTGAGCGAGTTTTAGGGAGTTGCAGGCTACAAGCGAGCCGCCCGAGGCATGACAGCGCTATCTGCGGAAGACTGGTAGTTCCGGAAAAGGAAGAATACGGTGGGGTTCGAACCCACGCCATATTTTGTCAGAATGACTGTTGCTTCGATGAGGCGACGCCGACATGAACCCCTGTATTACCCATGGCTTCATGCTGAACAAGGAGCATTGATACATGCTCCGCGCAACCGGGCCTCCAGCTTTGACAGTGGGGCCGCCGTCTCGTCGAACAGCAATGGTGTCCAGATTTCTGCCCTGCTCGGGCACCCAAACGACCGGTGGCAGGGGAGGGGGAGGGGGAGGGGGAGGGGGAGGGGAAGGAGATCAGTCTCAGACCAACAACAAGCGAATCGAGCGGTTTGTTATCACACACCGCCCAAGGACGACCACGTGCTGGATTAAAATGACGCTGCTGCACTAAGCCCCCTGGATAGCATTATATAGTTTCTTGCTTCTTACACAGCTTGCGGTGGCGCATGACACATTTGCAACGTGGTGACGTCATCATCTGCGTAACAAAGGGGCAAATGGCAAGATGGCGGGTCCTTTCTTAAAGTGGTCTTTGGCCGTTGCCTTTCATCTTCTTGAAATCACCACGCTAGCAATCGGGTTGTAGAGGCGCGTCAAATGCAGAGGTTATTTGCGCCTTGCTGGAACCACCACCACTGGCACGCAATAAACTGAGGCAAAATCTGGGAGGTCGACGAAGTGTGCAGCGTTAAAAATGTATTTCCTGCTCATCACGTGAGATAAATGATGATATCCGTCTTCTCAAGGACGCCTCGTTTACGTCTCACGTCTGCGATCTGCCAGTCGCGATGGGCGGTCACGATTGCATACGGTCTTCCCACAGTACATCTGACCTCGTTGTGGGGTCGGAAAACTTACAAACATGTCGCCGTCCTTAGAGATGACAGCGCTTTAACATATGTGCTTGAGAATATCAGGATGTTTGATCTCATCGAAATTTTCTTGCTGCTTCGTGACGTGGCGACGCACCACACCTGTGGCACAGGCAGCTGCTCCATCACCGTCCCGGGTCGCCTCCAACCCACTAAGCGACGCCGAGGAGTGTAGAAATGACGGCTTCTGTTCTTGGTGCTGATGGGAAGGCCGTCAATGCCGTCACGCTACACAGTCATCGTGGGAAAATGCGTCCATCGGAAGTAATGCGGTTCCGGGGGGAAATACGTGCTCCCGGCCCGCGGTCCTCGTGTGTTCTTGCTCGCACCCGAAAGCATTCAGGTACGGGTGACGGGAGTTGATTTTGGGGTGCTGACAAGTACAAAAATGGCTTCCCGTCAGTCTAACGCCTTTAATGAATTATGCCGAGATTCCCGGCTCAATAGCGTTCCCTTTGTTATAGTTTTCGACAGCATGGTGCAGGCTTTGAGGTCTTTATAAACACTTTGCAGGCGGAGTGGCCAGCCATATATTAGGCTCGGGGCATAACATCTCCGCATTCCACATGAAGGGCCGGCTATTTGTTCAGATCATTTGTGCCGGTTTAAGCTGGTGTTCTGTTTCAGGCGCTGTAAGCCATGGTCTTTGGAGTCACAGTGATCCAACAGAGCAGTTGTGCCAAAACAGTCTCACTATGTTGTAGAGTGCGATGGTTGTTCGCATGCAGGGCGAAACAAGCTGCTTGTGCTCTGTGCATGACGTACTGCTTTATATGTTGGTACCTATTGGGCTGTTGCACGCATGTGAGGCATCATGCACGCACGTCTAGAATTGGACCAAGACAGTTCTTGGTCATGCGTACGTAGTCTGATCAACTTATCTGGAATGTCGTGAACACATCGTCTCACAAACGTTTTCAACACACGCTTACTAGCTGTCTACTCCTTTGTATTGTAACAATTGTACTGTATTGTAACAACGACTGACCTAACTGCACTCATGGCCGGCTTTGCATAGGGACGGTTGATCACCGAATCCATCAGCTTGATGTGATGGGTGGGACCATGTCACATGTGAACGCTTCCATTGCCAATGCTTGCCCAAATGTCCTTGTCATTACACGCCATCGTCTGTTGACCTTTGATCGCGGCGTGAGAGTGATCTAATGACAGGTGGCAGCCCATGAGGTGCATGAAACGCTTCCTTTAAAGCCAAGGCCGTAGAGGAGCATTTGCTACTCACTGTGAAGGAATGGTTGATGTGTTTAGGGCCAAGAACATTCGTTATACTTGTATGGTATAGCACACTGAAGTAGGTGAGAGATTACCGCATCACGCTGTCGTGCCTCATTTATCCGCAATTCGACTCAGTGCGGCCATGGATATTTTCGGCATGATCTGGAAGGATATTTGAGGAAACGTCAACATTCATGATCAGATAAGATTGTACCCGATTGAAAGCAACTTTCCTTTAACCTTGCCGAAGGCACACCCACATGCCGGGGAAACCGGTGTGACCGGGGCACATATCAACCCCTTGGATGGTGACGTTATTACTGAGATATTTCATATATGTTCGTGCTAGCCCACGCTCAGACAATTTCACCCAAAGATGGAACTGCTCGACCATAGGTGAGAGGCTGATGTCTGAGGGGGGGGGGGGGAGGGGGAGCAAGAAGGCCTAGTAGAACAGACGCCCCATTTTGGACGTTAAGCGGTTTAACGTTAAGAACAGGTGACGAAACCAGCCAAACACCATATCTTCGCGCAGCAGACGGAACAAAGCATGTCTGACACCTCGCCTCGTACTGTAATCCTGGACGAACCACGTCACATACTTTGTCTCCGTGCGGTAACCCAGAGCTGCGCCCGAAGTCCTGAAGTCCGCTCGTTCGAAAGGGCAGCTCCCCGTGTGGAAACAAGCAAAAACTCCGAGCGTTTCGTAATCGCTGACATTTTGTAAAACCTCGCTCTCGCGTGACGATGAAACGTCCCGCTCACTTCCCTTCCCATACAATCTTCCGAAAGCCAAGCTTGTCGTATCCATGCCCACCATCGGCCCCATGACCTATTACTGGGTCAGGCCGCAACCGGGCCCGGCCCAACCACTCCTTTCTGGCACAGGCGGTCGCCTTGCCCCGTGGCAGTGGCCGACCGGAAGGCTGCAACCGGTCGGATGGCTTTCGCGCGACCCCGATCACAGCCCAGCAGGCTCGCCGCGCGCTGCACGGGCCACGGCGGCGGCGACGGCGGCGGCGACAGCGGCGGTGGCGGCGGCGGCGGCGGCGGCAGCGGCGGCGGTGGGACTGGTTTTCACCCGTGCTGTTGGCCGGCCAGCCGCCTGCCGGCCGGGCAACAACGTGACCCCGAGGAAAGCCGGGCCGGTGTCGCGTGCCAGGGGAGGCGCCGAGCGTGCCGCGCCGGGCCGCGGCGGTGGCTGTAGCCGCGCACGGGGTCGCAGGAGGCGGGGCGACAGATTCTCTGCGGTCAGTGTGTTCGATGTTGCACGAATCGGGGCATGGGTCTGGTTGCATGATGATATCGGCCTTTTTCACGGAACAATGGACATGTGTTGATGGAATCAGCTGATTTCTGTCGTAAAATTAGACTTGTGATGTTTGTCACCAAACACGACAAAGTTTGACCGACTTAAAATGTATGGAAAATAACTGGATGCAAATGGAAAATTTGCTATGGAAAAAAGTCTACTCAGCATAAACTGGTCACATTTTCTCTAAACAAAGCGTTAAAACAAAACGCTTTGTTATACACCTTACAAATCGGCATATTTAGGTATCAGGCAAATCTTCAGCTATCCGGATATCACTTCACACCCCAGCAAAACAACCACCTAACACACAGCATCCCACTCACGTCATGTGATTTTGACCTTCACTCCACCGCCCCGTCTGCAGGTGGGTGCAAGGACCTGGACGGCCAGCGAGTGGCCGTTGGTCAGCAGGTGTCCAGGAAGGACTGCCAGGAGACCTGCACGTGCCAACCGTCCGGCAAGTTCAACTGCACCAAGACAGAATGTCCGCCGGGTACGTGCCGAGCTTAGGCTATTGCAACTGAACCGTGCTCATGGTGCTTCTGTCTTGCAGCGCGTTGCGAAACAGTTCCTATCTCCGTTGTATTACCCTTTCCCACCTGTGGGGCTTCTCTTGCCTTTGCATGGTGGGTGTATGTCAAGTTAGACCCGTTATGGTGTATCGAAATTAACTGACGTGCTCAAGTGTCAGTCAAAAATAACTGACGTCACGCTGTCAACTTAATCTTAAAATGTAGGACGATGAATGATTCTGGAAAATATTATCTTGATATTCTGAATGAGTTAAAGCACGCTCATGCGTTGTGTTTGTGCTTTATCTCCACGGGGAATTGCTGGTCTACCCGCGTGTAGATGCATTCGTTACCCTCGTTCTTTCTCGCATGGCGCCATGAATAAATGCATCGATATTCTGAGCATATGCAAATGGCAGTTGGCAGATGATTAAAGCGCCACCAATCCGTATCCCAACGAGCGTCCGCGACCGCGACTGGGATTCCGGTCAGCGTTTAGAGCTCATCTGGTGCCTTTCTTGATACGCATCACTCACTTCTCTGTGTGGTCTCCTGTGGCAGCAGCACGCGTTCAGCACCCTGCCTTTCTCACCGGCTTCGAAAATATCGTGACACAACCGCTGCCCACCGGTCATTGCGTGTTACCAAATTCCAGCGGCAAATTCCCAGCGCCGTTTACGTCGCAAAGCTCCCCAAAACCTGAGCGTGAAGTTAAATGTTTGCATTTATCAGCATGCATTGGAGGAGGAAAAAACCTGAAAAGCAGCAGCTTCCTGCACGTCCGCTCCCTGCCGGTGCTCGCCCCCACCTGAGCGTCGCCGTCTCCGTCTGGGCTCGTCCCTTGTGTCACGCTGCAGTCTTCGTACTGCGCAGGCTCCTACACATCTGGCTCGTTCAGCGACGACCCGTCCTGCGTGGAGCTGAGTAGCGCCGCCGGCAACGCCTGCTGCGTCAACGTCGTCTGCACCGACGCCGCGTCGCCACCGGCTGGCGCCGGTTCTGCCAAGGCAGCGTCGACGACGACGGGTGAGCTGGCGATGACGTGCGAACGCCGGAACGTCTCGAACGTGCTGCGCTTGGGGTTTGTTATGAAAAGTCTGCAGGCAGCTCTGACCTCATAAATTATTCATCTCACATGTCAATAGCCAACATGGTCACCAATTTACGATGATGAAGGCGATCTTAAGACTTAACGTTTGACGAGAAAGGTTTTAGTCTTCGTTTGTCGTGTGGTGTGCTGTTTGCCTGGAAATCATGAGTGAATGGGTGCCGTCGGTTGTGTTATTAAAGAAGAGAACGTTACCCTTAGCGCTCAACTGCTGCTCAAATTGCTTTCCCTCAGTGTTTGCCAAGGGATATACATCTAACGCCTCTCTGCTCACCTTTGCCGTTTATGATGAACTTTGCCAGCATTGTTTTTCGCGGTTATGACTTAAATAAAACCTTTAGACGTACGATATTTGGGGAAAATATGTGAAAAACGGCTAAATGGAGTTTTCAAGCTTGCTACACGCCTAGAAAACACGTTCAGAGTAGATACACACCTTTAAATGCATTACATTGAGAGGAAACTAGGAACCCTCTAACCGACCGAAAGTCTCTCGTATCTTGCTAGCATGCAATAGACCACACATCCTAGGAAGAGAACAAATGCACGCAAAAGGTCGGAGTGGTTTGTTGAGCCTGCAGATAGTGTTTGAGCTGCATCTGGCATATTGCCCCGCCTTTCACCTTTGTTTAAGAGCACAGACCACAGACGGTAGTTTAAATGTTGCAACGTCCCGGAAAACGTGTGAGCGTATACAATGAGTTTTTGCACAGCTGGAACAATCCTTACCGTTGAATCTTGCCTCATTGTTTGTGGATTCGCTGCAGCCCACGTTAATGAAGCATCATTGCGTGGATTCCAGAGGGAGGGGAGAATGGCAAACCGTCTTTCCACAATTCCGCGGTTAGCCGTGTCAGCACGCAAGGTTATTCATGCTGTTATAAGAGGCGGAAAATTTAGGTGGCTTCTGGACGGTGCAAAATCAATGACCGATTGCGTCGGGTTTTACTGCAGCGCTCCGTGGAAGGCGTGTGACCCTTCATTTCATGTGCCCTATTCGTTCTCGGAGATAGACGAATCTGATTCTCAGGCTGGCTAGCAAAAGCTAGCTATCCAGCTAGTCCAGCTAGCAAAACCCGTCCTTACCCAAGAAAATGGATATTGCAGCCGTGGTGTGATCTGTTCTGCCGTCACTGGTCAAATATTTCTCTCGTTTTCTATAGATGTTTTACGGAATTAAACGTGACATTTTCTTTAAAATGTTTCATCGTTAACATGTCGCTGGCGTTTCATGCTTGCCCGGTTCTCGCCAGTAACTTTCGCAATGAGCGTTTAGTTTGATCCTGCCCGATCCATTTTACCTGATGCGTCTGATTCAGACCAATCCATTTCGCCCGATGCATCTGATCCCGGCAAACTGGCCTGATCCTGGCTAACCTACCTGATCTTGATCCACCTGATCCCGGCCGATCCACCTGAGCCTGATACACCTGATCCTGACCAACCCACCTAATCCTGATCCACCTGATCCCGGTCAATCCACCTGATCCTGATCCACTTGACCTTGGCCAATCCATGTGATCCTGATCCACCTGATCCCGGCCAATCCACCTGATCCTGATCCACCTGATCACGGCCAACCAACCTGATCCTGATCCACCTGATTCTGGCCAATCTACCTGATCCTGATCCACTTGATCCCGGCCGATCCGTACATCCACTCCAGTCTGAGCCAACTGTGCCAAGCTCTTTGGACTCTGCTGAGGATTACAGCATCAATCACATCCTACTTTGATACATGATGTTTACTTGGCGATACTACGCCCAAGATCTAGATTACATCGAGTTCTCCCCGCACAAACACCATGGCTGGTACAGCGTACTGAATGGATGAGGGGATGTCACAGATGAAACCTTGTCATCAAGTGTAAATGCTGTTGGCGCAGCGCATACTGTCTAGTTGGCGCTCTCAAGCGCGGCTTCCAATGCAGTGTTGTCGACGTCTTGCATGCAGTTCGACTCTGCTCGGCTCCTCGCGCTTGGCTCTCCCACCCTGTGGTAGCAAAAAACGAGCTGCTCCTCTCGTGACCTCGCTACTCTCGTGAGTAGGTAGAAAAGATTCAGAGCTGCTGTGCGCCGCGCGGACCGAGAGGCCCCTCGGCCGGCGTCAGTGCCGCTCGAGGGCTCCCAGCACCAGGTGGTCATCGCTTCAGCGGCGTGACAAGTGGCCGAGGTGATGGCAATCCGCCAGCTGACGGACCGGCAGACCATCAGCAAGCTGTACAGCTCGCAGCCGACGATGTAAAATGCGGCTTTTGTTGGCACAGTGTCAGTGCGCCGAGGAGAAACTACACGGCAGGGATCAATTAACTGTCCGGGGTATCATGAGGAAACACAGCATTGGTGGGCATGCGCTGCGACGAGGTTCTTCAGCGTAGCGATGATTGGCAAAGGTTGTGATTCATACTACTGATTTTTCAACAGCCGCGAATGACAGCCATTTCAACAGCCATGTGGAACACGTTGTAATTTCTTCAGTACAATGATAGTTTAGCTCAGTCTTATTTAATCTGTTGGTCGTTAGCCACTAGGTGTGGCCCCCAGTAACAGCTGAACTCACGTACATCTAAGCAAAGCTGATAAACAGGTCGCCTAGACCACCGATTCCACAAACCCGGCGGGCGCAACGCCGGCAGGGCTGCCCTGACCCGTCACAGGCCAGAAGGAGCCTTCCACTGTCCACTCCGCTCGACTCCTCCCGGTCGTCCGCGGCCCTGGCAGTACCGGAGCACCCCTGAAACCACCGCCCAGGACGACAAAAACCTCCACCGCCTCCCGCCAAGAGACGGTGCCGCGATAAAAACCTCCGGCACTGCCCCCATTTTCGCTCCGCTGGCCGCCTGCCGGCGCGGCGCGGCCGGTGGCTTTTTCGGCGGCGGCGCGGCGCATAATCATTCGATCAAGGCGGTCAGGGGCTGCCCCGCCGCCGTCCACCGCCGCACTGACCCACCGGCACCGGTGGTGCCGCCTCACCGCCGGCCACCGTCCGCCGCGCCGCCGTCCCTCGCCGCACCGACCCACCGGCACCGGTGGTGCCGCCTCACCGCCGACCACCGTCCGCCGCCGCACCGACCCACCGGCACCGGTGGTGCCGCCTCACCGCCGACCACCGTCCGCCGCCGCACCGACCCACCAGCACCGGTGGTACCGCCTCACCGCCGGCCACCGGTCCGCCGCGCCGCCGTCCCTCGCCGCACCGACCCACCGACACCGGTAGTGCCGTCCCACCGCCCCGCCGCCGTCCACCGCCGCACCGACCCACCGGCACCGGTGGTACCGCCTCACCGCCGACCACCGTCCACCGCCGCACCGACCCACCGGCACCGGTGGTACCGCCTCACCGCCGACCACCGTCCGCCGCCGCACCGACCCACCAGCACCGGTGGTACCGCCTCACCGCCGGCCACCGGTCCGCCGCGCCACCGCCCGACGGTTCCTTCGTCGCGCTGCCGCGCCGTTCCATTGTCCCACCCTCACGGTTTGGACTTCCGACTGCTCCGGCGTCTCACCGCCAGCTTGTGTCGCGTCAGCTCACCGTGACGTCACTCAGCAGCGGTGTCGCGGCAGGATGGAATGCAACAACGAGTTTCAACCGCTCTCTATCGAACAAGCGACCTAACATATTTATTATAGCCTATAAACATACTGCCAAGCAAGTGTTGGAAGTATCACTCTTTGCCATCTCAAAGGCCGTTACTCTGCTACCAGCTACTCACAAGCTGTCCTTGAGCGAAATTCATATAATATCCTTCACAGATAATTAATATGGTTATGAGCTTTATGGGAATAGTTATCACTTGTCCCTGCTAACTTAGACATTTTAATTACGCATTTTTGGAAACTGCTAATTGTTAGGTATTGTATGACTGATCTGGACACGAACATTATATTCTCGTAGCCACCGTGATACGATAAACATCCTTGCACGCTTGTTAGGTCTCTTCCCGCTAATGCTTGTGATCACCCTTTGTTTCTGAGAAGATTTACGCCCTCCTTGATCCGATCTCCATTCTGGGCTTTGTCCGCGGCTCACACCGCCCTCATCCCCTTCTCGCCTCGGTTCTGTATTACCATGAGCACGGCTCGAACGCTATCGGCCGCATCTCTCCCGCTCCGAGAGAAGGCGTTATCTACTGCCTTGTTTGCTGTCAATGACTGAGTTGCGCTCGGCCTGCGCCCATCTCCCGCACTGCCGCCGCCTGTGAGCCGCGGCACCGACAGCGGCTAACGTTTGACGGCCGCGGCTGTTCCAGAGGCGGGTGCCGAGCCGAGCACCACCGCCGCGCCGCCGGCGACGACCGTCGGCGCCGACGCGGGGGCCGTCGACGACAACGGAGCGCCGCGCGACCTGCTGCCGCTGGCGATCACGCACAACAGCACGCGGCTGCAGCTGCCGGGCGGCGGCGGCCGGCTGGAGTACCGCACCGACGGCCGGCCGCCGGTGGTCGTCGCCGGCGCCGAGGACGGCCGGGAGCTGACCGTCACCGGCCTCCAGCCCGGCACCGGCTACCGGTTCACCTGGACGGGGCGCGACGGCTCGCGCAGTCTGCGCGTGGACACCAGGCGTGAGTGGGGCCGACTCGTTCTCGGCGCCTGCTCGCTGTGAGGCGGGGATGGCTCATGGTCGATGGTGGGGGCATGTCTGGTGTGGTCTTCCGTGGATGCCGACGTCGTGCTGGATTTGAACAACTCGTAGCATCCGTCTGCTGGTGCGATGGCTTGCGTCCACGCCCCGTGAGCATGCGATCGGTCGGTGTGATAGCGGCTCGCGGTCTGGCTGTTGTGAGCCCGGAAATAGCTGCATCTAATAAGCAGCAGGAAGCAGGGGCATGACCCACTGAAACAGACCCACCCGACTGGTCTTTATCAAACTGTTCCATCGTTACCACTGAGGAACGGTATCTCTACAGCAGCAAGCGATCACTGTAAAAAGCGACACATCCATGTTGTCGTGTCAGTACTGTGATCTCAAAGTTGGATATTGCTGGGGTAGGCTGGTGACTCTTCGCGTCTTTATCGTTTCGGTTTGCTTTCTTAATTGTCAATTCTGAACAATCGCTGAGTCGCGTCTTGCGCCATGCACCATGCACCGATAGCACCATGCATACTAGTCGTCGTTCAAAGATGCATTTGGGTCGTGTCCGTCCGACAAAACTCGAAGTGTAACAGCCACAATTTGCCTGTGCCGCAGTGCTGCCTCAATGAGCACAAGGAAATTCCCACTCTGGCGGTGACGTTTTTACGTGTCCATGCTTCACAGAAACCGGGAACAATGCTAGATTAGTGCATTGCCTCCAATATCTGCTGTGCTGCAAGTTTGCTGCTCTCATGACAGCCACTTCGTTGGTGTGGGCGAGCCGGCTTTGCTTCGTTGCTCGTGCAAACATTCTGTGTTTGCAGCGTACTCATGTTTTAACGATTGTCAGGGTCGATTAAAGCAAGCACTTGATATGCAGCGAGTTGTGTGATACCAACTGTTCAACCCTGCAGAACCCACTCCTTAAGCGGGTATCCAACCTGCTGACGTCCTCTTCCCCAGTTTCTCCCAGACAGATGTCCTGCTGATGACCTTACACTGTCCACCTGACCTTCTGACTTCCCTGTCCGGACCACCTGACCTGCTAACGCCCCCCCCCCCCCCTCCCTCCCGCAGCCGGCTGCGTGACCAACACAAGTTCACACGCGATCGGTGAGACGTACCACATGGGCTGCCAGTCGACGTGTGTGTGTGGCGGCCCCAACCAGCCCTCGTGCCGGCCTCGGTGCTCGTTCACGCGCGGCACGGTCACCGACAAGGCCTGCTCGGAGCGGCCCGACATCGACGACCCCGAGTGCTGCGTCCAGCTGGTGTGCGCCGTCAGCAGCACCGGAGGTCAGTCCAGCTGGTGTGCGTCGTCAGCAGTACCGGAGGTCAGTCCAGCTGGTGTGCGCCGTCAGCAGCACCGGAGGTCAGTCCAGCTGGTGTGCGTCGTCAGCAGTACCAGCGGTCAGTCCAGCTGGTGTGCGTCGTCGGCAGTACCGGAGGTCAGTCCACCTGGTGAGCGCCGTCAGCAACACCAGTCCAGCTGGTGTGCGCCGTCAGCAGTACTGGAGGTCAGTCAAGTAGGTGTGCGTCGTCAGCAAACCGGAGGTCAGTCCAGCTGGTGTGTACCGTCAGCAGTACCGCACCCAGTACCCAGAGGTCAGTCCAGCTGGTGTGCATCGTCAGCAGTATCGGAGGTCAGTCCGGCTGGTGTGCGTCGTCAGCAGTACCAGAGGTCAGTCCACCTGGTGGCTGTGGGCAGAGGTCAGGAAGTTGGTGCAAGCAATTTTGGGTTTCATGGGAGTCCGGGAAACTTACATCGGTGAATTTGTTGACATGATATCAACTTTTGATTGTTCTGCAGCGTTTACACGTACGGAAAGTGTCAAGTTTTGTCTCGACAGCTTTCCAGCCATCCGTACGCCACCGGGCGTAAGTTGTGGTTTCATAAGAGCTCAAGCTAAGTACCTTGTTACAGCTCAGGAGCAGAATTCCGCTGATTCTGCCACTTCAGAATCCGAGTCTTCTAAGCCAATTTTTTTCAACAACTCTCAACTTTTTGAGGTTAGGTAGTGATTCACTCCACAGTCATTTGACGTTGACGTATGGTTTCAGGTCAAATAGTCCCGGAGACAACACGCGAACCGGAAACGACTACCGCGCCGCCTGCCACCACCGCCGTCCCCACCACCACCGTCAGCCCCACCGACGCCGCCGAGGAGGCCAGCACCACCCCGCCGCCGCAGACCAGCCCGGGCGCCGACTCCGAGCCGGGTGCGGTGGCCGGGGGTGCCCTGACCGACGCCGGCGGCCTGCCCCGTCCGACGCTCATCGTCACCACCAAGTCGCACAGCTCCGTCACGCTGGCCTGGGACGACTTCAAGCCGCCGGCGTACGCGCGCGGCTACGTGGCGCAGTTCCGACGCGTCGGCGACGAGGAGTGGCGCCGCCAGGTGCTGGCGCCGCAGCCGGGCAAGAGCGTGCCGCTGGTGACGATCGACGGGCTGCGGCCGGCGACGGAGTATGAGGCAAGGGTGGCCATCTTCGAGGGTTCGGAGCAGGACACGCTCGGAGACGCGACGGAGACCATCCGGTTCGAAACCAACGGTAGGTGGCCGAGGAAGCCGAGGGGGCACCGGGAGGTGAAGGGGCTCGTCAGGATATGCTCTGTACAAATCTTCTTAAAGGTCATGTTTGGTGCTCGATGATTTTGGTTTTGATCAGGATGGCTGGCCTGGTGATGTGTGAGAGCCGGTTATTTTTTATATTTTCTAGCCGATTTGCTCACAGATATCCAAAATTTTGCGGCCGCCGCTAGTAAAGGTGCTTCTGTACTCCCCCCCCCCCCTCCTCCCACACATAATCTAAACTATAGAATCCCCCATCTCGAAACTTGCCTCGTTTAGCTATGGACCTAGTCACAACATACACGACTTTCCATCACCGTTCACAGACATTTTGTTTATTCTTGAAAACAGCACGGGCAGCAAAATTGGTTCCCATCTCATACCGTCATGCCGACACAGACCTGACGCTCCCATCCCCGTCTTCACAGCGACTGCTCCGGGCGGAGCTGGGAGACTGATCCCATATTGTGAACCGGAAGACGAATCGTATTGCCTGCCAGGCTGCGACCGTCCTATCTGCCTGGCCTTGCCCGTACAAATGATGACTCGCCTTTAACTAGCGCGCGCGCGGCGCCGGTGTCTTGCACCGCCTCGAAACCCATTGTTTCCCTTAAGCTCTCCGATCACCAGCGGCAAATGATGGCAGTTTTGGCGGCGGCGTCGTTCCATCCCATATTAAGATCCGGTATGGTGCGTGACGTGGGGCTTAGTGGCAGCCGCGGGCGAGGATCGCAGCCGTATGCGGCACCGAGCCGGAGCCGCGGGATGGTTCCTTATCGAACACCGTGACGGCAGCGTGTTATCACAGGGCGATAACTCTATTCTCTGTACATTTTTGAATTTCTTCCGTAGGTCTGCTGGAATAGCTCTGTTCTCACAGTCGCTCCAAATATGCCCTGCTCGTCGAGCAAATCTCCGCGGTGATTAATCACGTGACGCGGCAATCGCCTGCGCCAGCTGGTCTTTTGCACGCATGCCTGCCGTTGCGTCGGAAAAAGTCGCGACGCACTTGCACTGCGTGTGAAGGTTAACAGGAAGACATAAAACCTTCGGCGGGCGACCCGAAGTGCACCGGCTATTCTCGCTGTGCGGGAAATCCCAGATCGCAGGCTTTTCACGGATTCCTTGCGTCGCTGTAAAACCGCAACATGCTGCCATCGCTTGCAAAGCCCAACAGACGCCAAAAGAAATATTTGCAATCGAGCGTCTGCCAGGAGATGATCCTTATTTTGCCGGAGTATCTGATCTCGGCCAAGGCGCCTGACGCCACCACAAGCGTCTGCGGTGGAGCCTGACCACCTCCCCTGCCGCCGCAGACGGGTGTGAGGACGACGAGGCCGTGTTCGCCGTGGGCGAGAAGTTCAGCCGCGGCTGCAACGAGACCTGCGTCTGCGAGCTGAGTGGGCGCGCGCGCTGCGAGCCGCGCTGTCCGCCGCCGCTGTTCCAGGCGGGCCACTTCCGTGACGATCCGCTGTGTCACGAGACGGCGCTGGACGAATGTTGCGTGACGGCAGTCTGCGATACGGCGCCCGTCGACGACGAGGCGCATCAGGGTCAGTGGGGGTCATTTGGGTGGGGAGGGGGATCGGGGTGCGACAGGGTCGATTGAAGTCGGCGTCAGGGTCAGGCTAGGAGACCCAGGATCACGGTATGGCATCTGGGAGCCCAGATAGCGGCAGATGATTGGGTCACAGGTACGAAATACCTACGAAGCCAACAGGAATGTGCAAATGGGATGCAAGATTGGGGTCGTGATGGGAGCAGCAAGGTCAGTTTTATACATCATGATGGTTGGATCAAAGCAATATTCTTGTGATAGTTGTACAAGCTTCGCACGTTCCCTTCCTGTGGATGATTTGAGATCGAACTAAACGATATCAAAACACAGCGGCCAATTTTCCTCGATGCAAGAAACAGACCGGGGAGGTGAAATGCTTCACGCTCGGCTTGCGTGCAGCCCCTGACCCATGCGTGCCGGCCGCACGGTGACGGTCGCCGCCTCTGCGCAGGCGCCAGCGGCATGGACCCCTGCGAGTTCGTCCACTGCGGGCCCAACTCGCGCTGCCAGATGGCGCCCCCGGCGGCCGGCCGGACGGAGCCGGGCGCCGCCGACGCCAAGTGTGTCTGCCTGCCCGGCTTCAACGAGGTGGAGGACGGCGGGCTGACCGAGTGCCGAGCCGGTGAGGGCTAGGCCGAGGCTCGAGGGGCTGCTCGCTGGGCGCTGATCGGTCGGCTGATGCAGAGGGCGGTGCCCCCCCCCCCCCCCCCCAAAAAAACCAAGTCGCTGAAACGAGAACTTCCGTGTCATGCTGTCGTCAACGCTGTGCGTGAATCCGAATCTGTGAGTCATCAGCGTAAGTCCGTGTCCCACATTCGAATGCCGTCAATGCTCCGTCGGGTCCTTGAACGACGGTTTTACGGCGTCACTGCCGGTGCTGGCCGCCGTCGCTCGCTCCGACACTTTCCTGGTATTGTATGGTGAGCACGTGATTCGCAGGTCTGCCGGTGCTCGGCTGATCTTAGCATGACCCACATGCACGATATCCCGCCAGTGCGTGGTCATTTGCGCGCGCTGGCGTGGCTAGCGTGACTTCAACGCACTGACGTCGCTGATCATCTGGCCACTCCCTGATCTTTCTGGCAGACGCTGACCCAGGCACGGTGATACTGAACGCCACCGGCTGTGAGCACGAGGAGACCACCTACGCGCCCGGCGAGGAGTTCTTCAAGAGTTGTGAACTCCGATGCGTTTGCACAGCGAGCGAACAAATCGAGTGCAAGGTACGCCCTTCTATTGGTATGCCGCTGCGTGCTGAATGTGTGTTGGCATTCCCTCAGCATGAACAACACATCGTTGGTGCCTGATCGATCAGTAATCCTACTGCATGCCGGTTGCGCGAGTTTTCGTCTCTGCTTGGGCTGTTGCAAGCAACTTGATCAAATTCTGCGAGATGTCCACGGTTATTGCTTGGTTTATTTTTATCGGTATCCTGTCAGGCGCTGCTTTGCACGGCGTTTATCTCCACATCTTGCATGATCGGTATCGGCGCCAGGACCGGTCACTCCGTCCAGTTGTTTCAGCTGTCTGGCTTATCATCCTTGAAGAATGTTTCATTGCCCATTCATACTTTGAGTCTTCGCAATGGGCGCCTGTTCAGTTACGGCGGGTTCTCTCAGGAGGCGGAGAAAACCCGACCTCTTCTGCATTCCTTTCACAACCTAGGACGCTTGCCGCGCATATGTGGGGAGTGTTAGGGTGCATGTTAGGTGTATCATGCCCTTGCTGCCCCCGACCTCCTCCGGTTCTGCCCTACCTGAAGATTCTTGCCACTTCCTCTTCTAACGCGATGGAGCCAGCCTGCCAGGGCCAATCACGCTCCTCCCCAGCCCCCGTAACGCCACGCACTTATGCGGCGTTACATGTTCACAGACGTCACACGCACGCTCGAGGCGTTGAAGTTCGTATGACGTAGCGCGCGCACTCGTGCCGTCATGCACGCCCTCCCGTGACACCACGACTGTCCCGGCAGCCTCGATGTCAGGTGGACCAGTCAACAATCCAGGACCTGCCGCCTGGCTGTGTGCGGGTGCAGGAACCGGAGCCCAATCACCTCTGTTGCATGAAATTGGAGTGCAAGAACACGACGGCAGGTCAGATGCGACCCCTTCCTATAGTAACCTGCTTAACGTTTGCCTGTGGATGCCATCAATAGACCAGCGATCCCTGATCAGATGGCTTATACGCGGTATGTAGATGGGATAGCGAGGCGGCTCATGTTGGAGTTGGCCGTGTGAAATATGAGTTGGCGTGTGTTGGCGTTGGAGTTGACCGTGTGAGTTGGTGTGTATTATTCCGCCCCGCTGAGCTCAGTCTCCAGCTCAGTCTCATCGTGGGAAACGTGAGACGTGAACTCATATGAGCGTCGACAAGGTTTTCCCGCAAATTCGTGGCAGTTTTTGATGCGCGTCATTTACAGATAGCTCACTTTATTAATAATGGTTGCTACTCAGTTGCACTTTTCCTTCGTCGCTAAGGAAGCAGCAAAGCTGTGTGCAGGCTAAGCCTACAAGGACCCAAAATTCAAGTCCGTGAAACAAGTAAGGTTATAAATATGTCATCTGAAAGAGAGCAAGTAGTTTACACTTCAACACGATGGTACACATTGTGACTGTTGCAGGAGTGGCAGTGCCAGACCCTACGTTTGCCGGCTGTGTGTTCGGTGAAGACAGGTACGACATCGATGAAGTTTTCTACCAAGGCTGCAAAAGCAGGTGCAAGTGCATGGGCTTTGGTGATGTCTCATGCCAGCCCAGGTAAGCAGGAGTAGTAGTTTCATGGTGGCGTGTTGAAATGTTGTTTACATTGTCTTGTTTTCCACACTAAAAAGCAATGTTTATCTAGTATCAATGCGGAAAGGATAGCATCATTGCGAAGTTATCCCCCTAGCAACCACTGAGTATGATTACGTTATATTCGCCTCCAGTCTGGTTTCAGTGGAAACGGCATCTCACCCTTATTATCGCGTTGCGTTATTCAGAGCACTTATAAACTACCTCTGGATTGTTGCGAGCGTCGCCATAGCGCACAGTCCCAGTAACGGACTGTACAGCCCCACCATGGGCCGCGGGCCGCCTGGCCGCCGCCGACCTCACGCGCCACCCGGCCGCCGCCGATCTCACGCGCCACCCGGCCGCCAGGTGTCCGCCACAGCAGCCGTCCGACGACCCGTCCTGCTCGGTCCGGCCCGACCCGGCCGACGCCTGCTGCAGCATCTCTGTCTGTGACTCTGTCGCGCCGGCGAACACCAGCGACGCGGACGCCGCCACCACCGCCGAGCCCGACGCCGCCGACGGTGACGCCACCACCGAGCCGAGCACGGCAGCGGAGGAGGCGATCGAGGCGCGCACTCGGCTGGGCGCCGGCCGCCTCGAGCCCGCCGCCAGCGAGCTGCGCCTCCTCGGCTTGCAGGCGGTCGACTCCAGCTCGACGCAGGTGGAGGTCGGCGTGCCGCCGGCCGTGGCCGAGCGCTTCTTCACGACGCTCCGCGACGAGCCGCTGCTGGTGGAGTGGCGCTACGGCGCCGCCGCCTGGCAGGAGCGCTCCGTGCCGCACGACAGCGTGCTGCTGCGGCGTGGCCGCCTGCTCGCGCTCGTGCCCGGCCTGGCGGCGCCGCGCGAGGCGACCGTGCGCGTCACGTACGACGGCGAGACCAGCGCACCCGTCCTCGGCGCCGAGCTCATGGGCGGCGGTGATGAGACAGCGCCGGCGGTGCAGCAGGAGGGAGGTGTGTTGGATGTGGGGCGAGCGTGGGGCTGTTGGAATTTTGTTGCGTCTAGTGTGCATGTGCTAAATATGTGGCTGAACGATTGTGTTGCTGGTTCGGCAGGCTCAGTTGTAGCTGTGAGCAGTTCATTAGAGACGGCGAAAGCTCGCGCCCCCAAAAATGATGCGTAGATAACAGTAGAAGCAACAGGAATATTCCCTTGAGTGAGATGATGAAGTCCACTCGCTTGAGCATTTATTGCGTACATTGGAACGCGCACCATCGAGATAAATTTACTTCAGCACAGCTCACGCCTGGTGAGGACGCAGCCACGCAGAACCATTTCATCCAATGCACGCGACTCGCCATTGCAGTAATCGTGGCTACGGACCCGCTGCCGACTACTACGGCAGCCCCTGAGGAGACGACCTCTGACGCCTCCGTCGTCGATGCTGCTCCGACCTCCGACGGCACCTCCTGCGACTTCGACGGCGCCTCGTACAAGCTGGGCGAGGAGTTCCACGACGGCTGTCGCCAGTTCTGCCAGTGCACCGAGACGGGGGTCAGCTGCGCGGCCATCGAGTGCCCGCATCACTTCGGCCTCAAGCTCATCAACCCGGACTGTATGCAGTGGAGCCAGCCGGACGACTTCACGCCCACGCCGCCCGAGTGCTGCCCTGAGGTGACCTGCGTCGACGACGGCAGCTGCACCTTCGAGGGCGAGAAGTTCCGCAACGGGCATCCGCTCCCGGAGAAGCTGACCGGCTGCGAGCAGCGCTGCTACTGCGAGTTCGGCAACGTGACCTGTCAGTCGGCGTGCGACCCGGTGCCGGCGACGCCGCCGCGCACGCTCCCCTGTCCGCCGGACCGCGTCACGCTCGGGCCCGGCGCCAACGGCTGCTGCAAGCTGTGGCAGTGCTCCGACGGAGGTGAGTCCGCGGCGCTGTCGCTGCGGTGACCGAACGGGGACAGAACGGAGGGAGGATGGGGAGGGGGCACCGCTCGATCACCTGGGAGTCCCGACGGTGTCTCAACGCTCGCACCTGCCTTCATCAGCTGCTGCAGCGGTGACACTGCGTCGCTCCGACGGAGGCACCCCAATCTCCCTCTCCTTCTCCTCCCCCCTCGCCTTGTGCGTGAACCCGTCAGCTCTTCGCCGCGGGGGAGTCCTCCGCCTCCGCCGATATATTTGTACATCCCGCTATATTATGATCCCGCTATATTATGATCCGTGATCCCGCTATATTATGTTCTCACGTCGTTCTCTCGTAATTTATACACGACTGCGTGCCGGGCTTGCCATTTCGCTTCCGCGCGCATGCAAGCACATGCACTTTGACTGGTCGCAACCTCAACGGACTGCTCACCTCCCACCACCAGCACTGAAGCCCGCTCCTTCATGACAACGCTCGGTATCTGCACGAGCAATTTCCTCGACTGGTTCTAGGCCGATGTATTGGCAACTTTGCCTGCCGGAAGGATCTCGACCGACAACGTTACTGAGCTCGACCAGACCCGTGATGCAGTAACCTGACATATCTGTTCGGCTTTGCGTCATGTGGAGGATGACTGCGGCTATGTGTTATAATATCACGCTGTCTGGCACCACGCTGCACGTTGCATGTCACCCCGATCTACTTCCAGGAGCCCCTAACACGACTGGTGGACGAGACCAGACAGAACTTGACCCAACGACGCTCGTTGCCCTCGGCGCCGCCTCTTCTCCTGACCTCCCCCAACCCACTGAGCCTGCGCCGTCGGCGGCGGAAGGAGAGTCCACGGACGGCAGCCCCGCTGAGGCAGAAGAGCCGACTCCGGAGCCGGAGCCGACGACGGTCGTCCCTGAAACGGCCGCCGGCGTGGAGAGCCCTGCTTCAACACAGGCGACGGGAGAAACAACGGAGGGTTTAGAGCCAGAGCTGGAAGGATCTGGTCCGGCTACGGAGTCAGTCGAGGAAGGAAAGGCAACGGAACCGTCTCCTGCCCAATCCCCTACTGAGTCATCTGCGGTGACGGAAGACGCTGCTGTAGCTCAAGCGGTTAACGTCACGGAGGAAAGCATCGCTACAGCGTCGGAGCCACCAGCAGATGAGCACGACGGCGCGCAGGAATCTACCGAGCCCGGAGCCAGCCAGGTGGTGGTGATAGACGGGCAGCGCTACCTGGAATCGAACGGCAAGCTCTTCCCGCTACCGCCTGTACCGAGCTTTGTCCAGCCAGACGGCCGTAGACCGGCGGTGGCCGGCGGCCCGCCTGCCGGGCAGCAGCCGTCTCCGGAGCCGACGGGTAACCGCGGTCCGCATGAGGACAATGGCGTGCCTGTTGGCCAGCCGCCGGCACCTCCAGGGGGCAACTCGATCGTGGTTATCGATGGCCAACGCTTCCTCGAGAGCAACGGCAAGCTGTCCCCGCTGCCGCCCGTGTCCGGGCTGCAGGGCGGGGATCGCATCCCTTCGGCTCCTTCAGTTGGCAACGCGCCGGCCGGCGCCGGCGACGGCAGCTCCGTCGTGGAGATCGACGGCCAGCGCTTCCTCGAGAGCGACGGCAAGCTGTTCCCGCTGCCGCCCGTGCCCGCCTTCGGCGGCCGGCGGCCCGGGGCGCGGCCGCCGATCGGCCGGCCGCGGCCCGGCGTCAGGCCGGTGCTCGTCGGGCCCGACGGACAGAGGATCCCCATTGGACCCGATGGCCGGCCGCTGCGGCCGCCCGGCACCGGCCGCCGGCCGCCCGGCACCGGGCGGCGCCCCGTCTTCGTGCCGCGCCCGCAGGAGAGCCCTGAGGTGCTGGTGCTGCCGGATGGCCGCCGCATGCAGGTGTTCCCCGACGGCACAACGCGGCTGCTCACGTCGCCGCCGCCGTCGACGCAGCGGCAGCTGATCGCGCTCGGTCCCGACGGCCGGCCGCTGCTCGGCCCAGACGGTCGTCCGATCCCGGTGCCTGCCTCTGCGGGCGGCGGCGGCGGCGGCGGCGGCGGAGGGCGGCAGACGCAGCGGCCGCGGCCGCCGACGCGCGACGGCGCGCTCGGCACTTTCCGACCGGGCGACCGGATTCCGATTGACGGCCGCGGTCGGCCGATCCCCCTCGGCCCCGGCGGTCCCGTGCGCACGCCTGTCTTCGACATCGTCATCGGCGCCGACGGACGGCCGCTGACCGACGACGACGGGCGCACGATGCTGTTCCCCGTGCGGCCAGGCGGGCCGCCGCCGCCGCACGGCGCGCAGGAGCCGGACGACGCGACGCTGCTGCTGCAGCACCTGGCCACCTCCACCCCCCACCCGTCCCGCTCCCCGCCGCCGGGCGCCGGCGCCGGCGCAGACCCAGGTCAGTGGCCGCCGGCCGGCGTCGGACGGACCGCCGGCCGGGATGGCTCGGCCCAGCTGGGTGACGGTTGGACTGTAGCGGCTTGGTGACAGGGCACTGTGACGGCTTGGTGGGGTTATGACTGGGCGACAGGTCAGCTGGGACGACTGGGTGACAGGACACTGACAGCTTGGTGACAGCCCCACTGGAAAAGCTGAAATGTCAGCAACAAACCTCCACGCATGCTGACGTGGGGTCGTGGAGGCCGGTAGGGTGTACAGAGGAGCTTTTCCCGAGCTTTTTGGGCGCGGACTCAAGGACATGGCGTCATCCTAAATCCTCTTCCAGAGCTTTGTACATGATCTGCCGATATTTACGTACGTTTGGAAGCCTTAAACACCGTGCTATTTTCAAGAGACCTGTCTCTACGGATAAGATATGTAACAAACACCGTTTGAATCCTATTTCCGCCAGTTGCGCTGGCCGCAGATGAATGCATGAGTTTTGTTTGTGAGCGGGAGCCAGGTGAAAACCCAGGGTGATACACTGGTATCTGCCGTAGTGACTAACCTCTGGTGGTAGCTGGGGAGCAGCTGTATGGACATGGAGTGGCTGATGAATGAAACGCGCACCATACAAGGGCCGCTGTTTTCCTTTGGCGTGTTTGGGATGCTTTCCATGCTTTACTGCGCTCTGCTGTTTGTCAGAAAATTGGCATCAGAACGCTGGTTTCGTTTGCGCGGTTGCCGCGAATCTTGACCTTAATCTTGTGCCTTTATGTTGCGGGATTCAGCAATACCTGTGGTAAGTTCCGGCTCCCACTCGAGCTCCCGGGTGTTGTGTTGCTTTTTATATGGGGTAGCTTAAGGGGTACAGCGTGATCACTTCGACATTCTGTGATCAATCATCAGCTGCAATATATTCCATTAGTTTGGCGTTACGGCCGATGACAGTTTCATAGGTGTTGCGTGATGGGTTCAGTAAACGCAGAAATGACGGCCGCGCTCTATTTGCAGTTACATCGCGACATTCTGTGCCGCCCAACATCCACGCCGAGGGGCTGGGCATAGGTAAGACAGCTGGTAATGACACATACACGTACATCCGTTCTACTTCTCGTGTGCGGTAGTCAATCCGCGTGTGCGCTGCACATATTTCATAATCGATCAGTAATGTGAACTCACGGAAGCTAGAACGGCTTTTTGATATCCATATACGAATTGCCCAGAAGCTGGAGAAATGCTGTGTGCTAGGTGCGTAAGAAATCGAGTCGCACTGTTGTCCCCCTTCCGTTTCCCCGCTAGTCTGAGCCAAACCCATACGCACCATGTCTGCGCTTTTGAGGACAAGGGTGGGTTCACCCGTTTTCCGTGACAAAATTATGTAACAGCTGGCCCGTGGCAATGCGAGGCAAGGATAAATAGAAAAGAAGAAAGTGCTGCAGTGGTATTCAGCTATTTTGACCACAAAGCTTCTTTGAGTTGGTGGTGCGTAGCACGGCCGCAGCAGGCCGTGCAATCGTCTCTGCAACGATTACCCTAACACAGCCGCTGTTGTCAAACCCGGCGCGTGCTTGTTCCCAGGAAACGAAATCTCTGACCTGGACGTGCGGGATGTGGACGCAGAGTCTGTCAAGTTCAGCTTCAGTATCCCGCCGGCCCTGGTCGGCCTGCCCGGCAAGACAGAGGTCCTCTACACCGATAGCCCGGGGTCAGTGGCCGCCACCTGTCAGCTGCTAACGACACGCTTGGATCGCTACGGACGGTAGCGTGGCGATCCCTCCTGAGAATGCCACTTACGTGCGCGGCTGCAACTATTGGCGACATTGCTCCATCTTGTGCACCCATATTCCAGTATAATTATGTTGCAAAAGAGCACATGGTAACCACTTGAAGCTGGCTGTTCTCACCAACCAATCGTATCTTACCATGCCCGTTTGTTCTAACCAACTTACCACGATGAAACGATGCCGTTGGATCCTTGCGCCGCTGGATCTCTGTCTCCTCCACTGGCCTGAAGATGACCTGCCACGCGTGCCCTCCCTCAGCTCCCTGCTCCCTCCTCTGGCCTGAAGATGATCTGCTAAATGTGCCCTCCCTCAGCTCCCTGCTCCCTCCTCTGGCCTGAAGATGATCTGCTAAATGTGCCCTCCCTCAGCTCCCTGCTCCCTCCTCTGGCCTGAAGATGACCTGCCACGCGTGCCCTCCCTCAGCTCCCTGGTCCCTCTGGTCTGAAGATGATCTGCTAAATGTGCCCTCCCTCAGCTCCCTGCTCCCTCTGGTCTGAAGATGACCTGCCACGCGTGCCCTCCCTCAGCTCCCTGGTCCCTCTGGTCTGAAGATGACCTGCCACGCGTGCCCTCCCTTAGCTCCCTGCTCCCTCCTCTGGGCTGAGGATGACCTACTAAACGTGCCCTCTCTCAGCCTGAACGACGAGGCGTCGTCCTGGGACCGGCGCGTCTTCCAGACTCCGTCGGGCCTGCTGGACCGCACAGACCTCTCCTGGGTGCTGGGCGACCTCCGGCCCGCCACACCATACGTCATGCAGGTCAAGGTGTTGTTCGACCAGTCCTCCACCATCCTGCAGAGCAACGTCGTTGAATTCCAGACACGCGATGCGCCCGAAGGTGCGTGGAAAGAAGCTTTTGAGGCTGGTTTGTGTAGCGGTATGGATTACGTGTCGCAAGAACGTTGTTGATCTTTTGAGTGTCAGCTTTGTGATGTGCCAGTTGGTATGTTTCATCTCTTATGTATAGTCCATTATCATAAAGTCGTTTGACATCCACGAAAGGGAGACGTTACCCAGCGCTCCGCGGACTATGCTCTTGCGCTGCACCAGGTCCACAATTGCATCCATGCTACGGTAGTTGTCAAAGTCCCACTATCTGTTAATCCATGCACCAAACGCACCTCTACACTGTCGCCCCCTCCCGTCCGGACCGCACCCATAGCGTGTTGCTGACGTGTCCGCCCCGTTCCAGCGGCCCCGACGCTGCCGCCCAAGGTGGAGGTCGATGCTGAACTGCAGGCCTCGGACGTGGACACGACCTCGGCGCTGATCCAGTGGCGCCGGCTGACCGAGGAGGAGCTACGCTACATCGACGGCATCCAGCTGCGCTACAGAGACGTCGACGTCGACGCCCAGGTACTGTACTGAGGAATCGCTGGGGGACGTCGATGTCGACGTCCACTACTGAACTGGGGGTCGCTGGCGGGCTCTGCCGCGGCCGTGGAGTGCTGTCTATTGCCAAGAGCTGGCCACCGCTGCTGGCCGCTATCATACACTCAGCTGGCGACACGCGGCGCATATACGCGCGTATATCATGCTTATCATGTATCATATTTAGGCATCATATATGACCCCACCGGTCTTCATATTTCTGAGGCAATTCTGCTATGAAGTTGACGTCTCACCAACCCAACACCATTTAACGCCACGACCCTAGGCAGAAACCAAAAGTTACTGCGATGCCCCTGCACGTGTCGTGACACGCCACGTGGCACGACAGCTCACACGACCGCCCCTCCCTCCCCCTTCCTTCCGCGATCCACCAGGTGTGGACCATGACGCCGTTCATCCACCGCGAGCTGACCACCTACAAGCTGACGGAGTTGAAGCCGGACACGACTTACGAGGTGGACATCGTGCTGATGCCCTTCCAGACGCAGCGCACCGAGATGGTCTCCTCGCACCCGCTGCGGATCAGCACGCTGCCCGTCTTCGGTCAGTGGAGCGCTGAGACTCATGGCGCCTGATCTGGGCCGGGGCTCGACCGCCAGCTGCGCGTGGCGTAGGTGGCGGCGGTCTTTTTGGAGGTGGCGAGCGCGAGGCGGGGCGCGTTGGTGTGGGTTTGGGGTCTGGAGGTCGCCAGGTGTGCATGGTCAGGCAGCGAGGAAGTGAGCGCATGAGTCGTGCGTGGTTGTCAAATTGGGAGAAGTGCGTGTGTTGAGCGGCATAACATCCGTGCACCTCCTGCGGTTTGAGAACCACGCATGATTGGCGGGCTGGCTTCCGCGCCGTCTGATAAGTGCGCCGCAATTGCTCGTCTCAACGTCGCATTTTGTCTTGCGCCTAGAAAGGTAAAAATAGCCAGCATTGTTTTATCGACAGGAATGTGCATTAAGCACTACTTGGGTGCAATTAAAGCACACCGACGCCAAAGCTTTGATGTTTAAGTATTTTGCCGCGAAACCCATCTTTATGACTCGCGTTTTCGCTTATGATGCACATTCTCGTAACAGTCTACACCCTGCAGATGAGATGATGTCATGTAGCGGGCTGCTGACTTAGTGTCTTGGCCCATTCTCACAGCGAGCCCATGACCGACTAGTTAAGCTCCTGCCCTATTGAACACAGTTTCCTCACGTGTCAGCCATGGGATAATGTTGTCCACATCTTGCCGACCGTATCTCAACAGGAACAAATGGTTCGGGCTTCTGGCATACATTCCCCCTTTGATTGGCTATCGCTTTGAATCTACGGACGGCATAAGCTGCGCTGTTTTTCCGGCGGAATTTCCCATAGTTTCTTTGATTTCTTGATACGTCTGTCCGTCGGGCACCATGACAACATTTTCACTTCTGATAGGCAAAATATTGGGAGGCACATTTCGTGCTTCGGAGTCTGTACTTTCATCCTCTTTATCCAACGTCCGGCTGGTCCCGCCACCGGCTGTGTGAGCCTGATTTGTTCAGACGATTGTCTTGGATAGAAGGATCAGCGCCCCCCCCCCCTGCCCCCCCCCCCCCCCCACACACACACTCCCTACCTCTTCCCCTCGTTGCCCTTCATGACCGGCAGCACCCTCCGCAGACCGCTACGACTTCAACATCACACTGGGCAAGGTGGAGCCGGGGCCGAACTCCGTACGAGTGAGCTGGACGGGCATCCCGCAGCCGCAGTATCAGTTCGTCAACGTCTACCGCATCGTGTACATTTACGAGAAGGAGCGCGAGGAGAAGCACACCTTTAAGCTGGCCAAGACGTCCGACGAGCCGTCCATCCTCATCAAGGGCCTCAAGCCCAGCAGCAAGTGCGTGATGGTCATGTCTCCTTTTTGTACTGATCTCGGCGTTTTAGTTCAGGAGCTGTGTTTAATACCAATTGCGCTGCATTGTGCTCAAAAGGAAAATATTTGTTGGTCGGCGCAAAAATTGAGATTGCGTCGCCTTTACTCAACGGTTGATATAGCGGTGTCTTAGAAAACAGCAGCAACTTTTCTGTAAGCGATTCAGTTTTGGCTACATATCGATTTCATCCAGTGCTGGGAGTGTTGTCTTATCCATGTGGAACATGTGGGAAACGGCAGTCATAGCAGGGCTGAATCAGCTTTGGTCGTTGATTCGGGAAATAACGCACGCGTTGAGTTACGGTACATAAATTAGATTTGATCATGCCCTTGCTATGGCCTCGCTTCACAGTTCTGCGCACTACGTTGCTTTTTGATTGCTCTGAGATACCTGATGGGAAGCATTGCGTATAACTGAATATGAATCATGCCCTGAATCACACAAGCCAATCACGATGCCAAATGTGGGTGTATTTGCTCCAAACGTCAGGCGAAGCTGAACGGTGAGAATGACTCGCGTCAGTGATTGTCATGGCACAGTTGCATTGCGCAAAATGCAAATAGACTCGTGCATGCCTTACAGCGGCATAAAACATGCTTCAGATTTGTAACACCCCTCTAAGCTCAGCAATGCGATGGCCATTTCACCTGTATGTTATATGCCCATGGTTTGGTGGTGCGGTGATGCCTCGTCCCAAGGAGTCGAAAACAATGCAATTCCCTTACGGTTTAGAAGCATCCTTACAGATTAGTGACAGCCTGTCTTTTACAATCAACATTGTCAGTGTTTACCCTTGACCATGGCCACAAGGAGCGAGAGAGAGCCAAGCGTTCAGTCCGCTGTGCCAGATTCGTACGCAGCTACCCCTCGAGTAGCAGTAGCCGCAGGGTCGGGCTCCCCTTGTGACCCTCACCTTCCCACCTGCCACAGGTACCAGGTGTGGCTGGAGGCGTACCTGAAGAACGGCAAGAAGCGCGTGTCGGAGGTCCGGGAGTTCGACACCAAGCCCGGCCAGCTGGGCAAGCCCGAGGAGATTCGAGACGAGAGCGCAGGTCGGTCTGCAGCGGGGCAGCGGCAGTCGGGATGGCCACAGCTCCCGACGTCCGTTATGCAGCGTCGTTCAATCCTCTGCTGCCCCCCCCCCCCCCCCCGCTCTCACCAGCCCCCGGCGTCCCGTTATGTACCGTCGCTCAGTCCTCTGCTGCCCCCCCCCCCCCCCTCCCCCCGCTCCCAACAGCTCCCGACGTCCCGTCATGCACCGTCGTTCAGTCCTCTGCTGCCTCCCCCCCCCCCCTCCCCCGCTCCTGCTCCCACAGTGGTCGGCGCGAGGCCGTTTGATCGCGGAAGACGTGTCGTGACGTTGAGTTCGTTTGTTGAGAATAAGGACTGCACGCTTGGATACTGCCAACGCCTTTTCATCGCAAGCTTTTGCCTCGTTTTGTCCCTTGTTCAACCGTCTTCGCAACTGACGCTACCCGTGTTCCTCTCGCGGCAGGTGATGCGTTGGGCACCAGGGACCCTCCCAACAACTACTACAGCGGCATGGTTGCGGCGGCCATTATTGCCACCATGGCCATCCTGCTGTGCCTCTTCCTGGCGTTCCTGCTCGTGCGGAGGGCCAGCCGTGCCGCCGTGGAGCCGGCCGCCGCCAGGAAGAACGGCCCCAGTTACGACAACCCCGCCTTCAAGGTCAGCGGGCAAAAGTGACGAGGGGGTGGGCAGGGGGTTCATGGCGGCATTGGTCCTCCACGGTCTGGTAAGAAATTCGCCCGCGTCTGTGTGCGGTCAGGAACATGAGATATGACTGGAGCAGACTTACGTTTTCAGCATGTGTTCTTGAGAGACGATTGACGTGCGCGTGACTTGTTTGGACGGAACAGAAGTGTTGCTGCGCCTCTGTGTGTTTGTGTTGGCGATGGAGAGTGAAGCTGCGACGTCTTAGCGCCTGAGTGGCTAGTGTGCCTCGCAGTTTGTAATGTTGACGGGCAGACGCCAGATTTGTAGGGACAGCTCAGGTTCGTCATGACGGCGGTTGTTGCCTTAACAGATGATGTAGTTCATTTAGGTCACGGTGTTATTTATTAGGCCGGCAGTTTTGTTCCAGCCCTCGTGAGCCTTTCGCCCGCAGTGGCTTCAGCCAGTGTCCCTCGCCAGTCATGCCACCCCTCCCGGCGTGGCACCATGCTGAGGCCGTTCTTCCCCGTCTCGATGTCCTCGCGTCGCGGCGATCCCGCTGCCGATCACGTGACCGCCCTCTGACGTCATCTCGTGCCCGGTCGCAGCCGCCCGAGACACTCGACACGGTCTCGCGAGAGGAGGCGCTCGAACCGTAGCGACGTAGGAGCCGCCCGCGGAGGCGACTGTAGGCGGTAGGCGAACGTGGCCGCGGGCCGAGTCCTTTACGTAGCCTCGGAGCGTGCATGGAGCGGTCGCCAGGGACGTTGCGGTCCGCCGGGGCTAACAGTGCATGGCGCGCGGCAGACATGGACAAGGGACCGGCTGAGGACGGGCGGATGCATGACGAGACATTGCACACGACGGTTTGCAGGCATATGTGTGTATACGCTGGAGTTTGTACATGTCGGGTGCGAGAATGTCGCTAACTTGTCTCTGCTTCCAGCAGCCGCTTATTTGGTGATGTTGAGATACTATTGAGACTACACAAATATGAGCGCATCTAAATTGGTGATATCGAAAGTCACGTATTTTGCAATCATGCACGGCATTCTAAGAAATATTTTATGTCATTAATCAAGTGGAGATAATGATTGGGCTTTCTGTGTTACAAAACATATGCTGGACAGCGCGCTATCCTTGTCCTCTAGCGTGGCAAATAATGTGTTGCGAACTTGGGAATGAACTGCCTATTTTTCTTACCCGGCTCGCAATTTTCGGATGCAGGCTTGCGTGGCTGGAATGTGGTAAACGGTTGTAACGGAGCGTGAACTTGATTTGACACCGCTTACAGGCCGTGATTCAACACATTTTCATGCCAGTGATTCATGTCATTCGAAGAGGCCGTGCCACTGAATTCGCATTTACTTTGACACCACTTCCTCGTTTTCTCACCCACGACGATCGCGATCAAAGGCCTCAATGCTGCCGCGCGCCACAGAAGGCCGGGCACCCAGGCGGAAGCAGCAGTGCCGAGCCCGCTGACCGCCGTCCCCGACCGCCGTCCCTGATCGCCGTCCCTGATCGCCGTCCCTGACCGCCGTCCCTGACCGCCGCCCCTGTCTGCAGAACTCCGAGCTGGACGTGAACGGCGCCAACGGAAACGACCGGTTCGCGTAGGCGGCGCGCCCGCCCGCGCGCCGGCCATGGCGCGCCACGCGAGCCGGGCCCCGCCCGTCCCGCTGCGACTCCGACTCCGACTCCGACTCCGGCTGGCGGCTCGGCCGAGCGGGCGGACGAGCGGGCGGGCGGGCGCGGCTGATCTCTGGAGGGCGCGCGCTCAGTGCCAAACAAAGACGACGCGGTGAGGCCAGACTCCACTGCCGGAGAGTGATACGTGAGCGGCCGCCCGGCCGCGGTACCGGCGCGGTACGCCAGCGTGTACCGGTGTGTACCTCAGCGGACCGCACGTGACTCCGTGTGACGGGACGCGGCGCGGCGGTGACTGGTGTCGGTGTGAGAGGTGCATTGGCACGCTTTTCTATGTCTTGACTGGTGATGCCGGTGCGATCAGTCGAAGAGTGTTGCTAGGTCAAGGCATCAGCTGCAGCGACTTCGGCTGACCTGTGCGTGTTAGAAACCCGGTGGGTTTTCATTTCTTTGACTGTAACGCGTGTGCTATTTTCATGTGGAAGCCAGCAGGCCGCGTTTGCATGTGGTATTTGTTGCAGTGAATGTCGGTGTTCTTCTTCGGTGTACTTGAGCCTGTGTCTGCATTGTTGGAGATTTGTACACGGAGTCTGCTCTGGATATTGTCAGCTGAGAGATGTTAATGTCACTGGCTCAAAGAGACCATGCTTGTAGCACTGGGGTATGCTGACTGTATCGTCTGCTTTAAAAGCTTTCACGATCGTAGGCAAAGCATCGTCAAGCAAACAACCCATGAGTACTTATTTCTATAACAGTGCAGCGAACCTGCGTCAGTTGTTGTTACCCGACTTATATACAACGAATAAAGTGTCGAGTTGGATTTTCAACTTTTTGTTACCAGAAGGGCCGAGGGCTGCGTAAGCTTAAGTCGAACTATGGCACAATCTTTAGCTCGAGCTGTTCATCCGAAAGGTCCGCTAGTTCTGAAGCTATTTATCTCAGGCTCATGCTGTTCTCAGTGACAAGAAGCGCAATTATTTGAAGACTATATGAATCGTGGGCCATTTGCATGCGGGCTGTTTGATCACGCGGTGTCTTCCAGGCATATTTTAACATCACCTCGATTTTGCCTCCCTCATTCGGATAACATAAAAACGGTGACACGATCACGTTCCGAAATAGTTAAGAGAGCAGGCGTCGAAACCAAATCAAAATATTGAAGGCATACGTTGGCCCTACTGATACTACTACGATCCTACTGGTCCTACTGCAACGACCACAACTACGATGGAGTCATAAAATCATTGATGCCCAAGCGCATGGACTGTGGTCGTGGGCGATTCATAACAATGGTATAAACTATTTAAGAGACACCAAGCATTACACCTGGCTGCTGGCGGATCTTTGGTCCATGCAACCCATGCGCATTGCATTAATTTAAGATGATCGACAATTCTTTGCGTGAAAGAAATGGCAAATTACTAGCGCGAAAAAGAGAACCATATGCGTTTGATAGTATTCGTCACCGTTGAATGGCGCACAAGCTTCGCACCCGGTCACCGGCTCTTTTTCGTTTTATGTCACTCACATGCAATGTTTGGGGGGGGGGGGAAAGGCCACAGGCCAATCTGCGTGACGATAAAAAATACAGGAGAGTTTTAAAATGTGTATTATCAGATGCAGAAAGCGGGAAAGCCCATTTGATAACATTGGATCAAGCTATTCAAAGTCAGCCATAGGGCCGGCTGCCGGAGCCCGTTTGTTCAATAGGACGTATTATTGAAAGGTGGATGCGTGCCCTACACGTTGACCACAAACAAATAAGACAGCGTTTTAAAACTTAAATTATATATCGAGCACAGGATTGGGGCCGCGCGCGTTTCAAAGCGAGTGCGTAAGTATATTGATAGCCGCGAATTTCGATGATTATCGGATGAACAAACATTACGTTTGCTCCCTGACGGATATTTGCATTGTGCGCAAACTGGCGTCGGCGTATCATAATCTGGAGCGCGCGGAGGGGCAGCTACGCCAGCATTTAAAGAAATGCCCGTATTTTGAGCTTCGAGAGTGCATAGCGAACGACACCAAAATATATGTTTCAGCTGTCGGCGCCTGTTTGTCTGACACGACCTTCTACGGCCTATTATTGAAAGGCGGCTGCCTGCGTTGTAAGAGTGGAGAAGAAATCATATGAAATTTTCGAAAATGTTTGCATTCGAACGCAGGGAATGGGACAAGGTGTGCTTGATAGCGTTTGTGTTAAGTTACCGAACGACCCCTAAACATAGGGCTCAGACGCCGGTCCTTGTTTATATCTTATCTTGTGTTTGTATGTTTTTGTGTCATGGTTCTCACATGATCCACGCAAGGCGTAAAGTTTAAAGTGAACAGGCCACACTTGCATTGGAAAAGTACCTACGTAAGCGTTTCAAGAGCATTTATTATCGAGCGGGGAAGCTGTAGTCTCACGCTTTGAATACCGATGGTTCAGGGCTAACAAATGCCACCGAAGTATTGCGCTTAACCACCGGCACCATTTGTTTTATGGGAACCAATGCGCACCGGCTTATGATGTAAGGATGTGAAGCCACTCTTAACGTGGAGAAGAATATACCCCAGGGTTTCAAAAATATTCATAATTGAGACCGGAGCGTATGATCCGGGTGGGTTTGATGACACTCGTTAGGAGTTATAAAACGACACCCACACTTCTGTGTCCTGTGGCAGGGCGTCTATTTGTTCGGGATGCCCCTCCGCAACGTATTTAGAATGCGGGTGACCGCTCTGCGCCTGGCAAAGGAGCTGCAGCAACGCTTTCAAAATGTTTATAACCTAAGCACGGAGATCAAAACCACTCGCGTTTGACAGTCATTGTTCAGTGGCAGTGACTTACATCCAATACATTTGCCCTTAAAATATATTTTTTAAAAGGTTGACGTCATTTCTGATCCATTCCCAGAGTTCCTGCCTGCCTTTCCATATTATGCCGTGCGGGGGTCATATCAGTCCAACATGCGCTGTCCGCCGCACTCGATGGTGAGTGTCGTTCGATAGCCTTGAAATGGTGCCTCGTAACGCGCTTGGCTCCACTGTCTGCGCTTAATCATGAACATTTCTAAAATGCTGCCGCATTTTCACCATGTGGGCAAATGAAACGAATGGACGTAGGTGCTGCCGGGCCCGATGCTTCGTTTTGCTTCTTCTAAAATTAGTCAGCAATGTACGTAATAGACTTGATAAACCTGAAATATAATCGAACACGCAGGGAAGGACTGTGCTCGTTTGGCAACGCTGGCTCGGGGCTACCATATGGTGCCCAAATATCTGGTCCGGCCGCTTTTCTGTGCAGGACGTTGACAATACCCCGCGGGGTGTTATTGAAAGGCGGCAGCCACTCTGCACGTGACGACGAAACCACGACGGCGTTTTTAACTTATTCTGGAAAGAAGCACAAAGAGTAAAGCCGTGCGTGTTTGATGCCACCAGCTCAGTGGTATTGAAAGGTGCACAAGCGTTGAAACAAGCTCATTGGGGCCCACGAACACCTGGAACTTGATGTGTTTCACGACTGTTCGACCCAGTCACGGCAAATGTGAATTATTGCAATTAATTGACTTGTTCGGTAGAATCTTCGGGCCTGGCCAGGCACATAGCTAGCCAGTTTGTAAGCACGGCCTTTAAGAGACCTTTCGCATGCACACTATCAACGGTGGACTACCCTATAGAAGATATCACTGAAATAGCACTCCATCCCAGGTAATCAATGATGCTTATTTGGGTTTCCAAACGTGTGATTTTCAAATGGTATAGATTTCCAAAGGCGACTTTTTCCATCCTCTCAGATTTGGCATCGCTAACGTCATGATGATATCTGCATTGTCACCTCGCTCGTCCCATACCGCGAAAGACCTGTTCCTCGCCATACCTTATTTGATCGATCGATCGGTAATCCCAATACCGATTAGTCTTGCGGTCGCAACTCAACCATTTTCAAACGGTTTTGCACAGGGTCAGTTGAGGCTCGACACAGCCAGATGACTGACTACAGAGTGACTCCTGACAGAGTGACTGACTCAGAGTGACAGGTGACCCCAGAGTCTGCTTTGTCTCTGATGCGGAGCACAAGTCTGCTGCAGACAGAAGGCAAAATCCTCTCCGGTGAAGCGGTGTGGAATCAGCGAAGTGTGGCGCTGTGGTGTGTCCGCACTGCAGACTCATCCAGCGGTCCAGGCCAGTCATGGCGCGTAACTAGATCCAACGCATATATGTTCTCGGGCGGGTCGAGCGCGACCAGCGCGCCGCCCGCAGACGCTAGTACCGCCGCCGTCCGTTGCGCGGTGCTGGTGTGTGTCGCTCACCGGCGGCGGCGTGGGACGGTCGGTGCGGCGCCGAAGGTCATGTCGGATCAGAGGGGTGCATCAGCCCGGAAGGTCACGTCGGTCCGGAGGGGTGCACCAGCCCAGAAGGTCAGGTCGGACCGGAGGGGTGCACCAGCCCAGAAGGTCAGGTCGAACCGAGAGTGCATCAGCCCGGAGGCCGACTGGCGCTGAGTCACTGGGACATCGAGAGCATGAACATGACGTCAGGGGACTGGACGTGGACGTGGACGTGGACGTGAACGTGGAGCCGGCGGCAGGCAGCGCCGAGGCAGCCGCCACCTGTGCTGGCACCTGGCCGTGCCCGGTTCCTGGAACGGGCCAGCGGACATCGCCAGCCAGCGCAGACTGGGCTGTGGGTATCTGATTGCCGACATACCGCCAGACGTCTGCTTGTTTGAATGACGTGACCTGTGACGATCTGATGCGGTGACGACCAGAAGGGTGGCCGCTGTATCCGCATTGTTCATAGATGTGGTTCGCAAGAGCCGGGAATGATGAAACCAGATACTTAGAGAGGTTGTTGCGTCGCAGGTGGTGCATGAGTACATAATGCATTCTTTGTTCACGCCATGACTTTCTGTTGAAAAGGATGGCAATTGGAGAATGTCTGTAAAGTAATGAAACGATGGCACCGACCTGCATCGTGCTGTTTGCAGTGTTAGTAGCAGCAGAACATGCTGGAAGGCTATTAAAATATTAATGTCACACATTTGTTAATTGGTGGCACATATACTTATTGGCTTTACCGCAGGTATGTACATGAAACGCTCTTAGAAACGCTTTTTATATCTAAAAGTGATTGGGCTTGTCCCAACAGTTCACGAATTGTTTTTTTCTCAAATAACCAGTACCGCACTCTAATGCCAGCGCACATTTTTAGAATCCTGACGGACATTGAGCATCTGAAATCTTGTACCTTTTCACTTGGTCTTAAGCCATAGTGCTGTGAACTAAAACACTGGCATACGAAGGCCCCATCCGACGGTGTTCACATTCCGGTGGTGTCCGTAGTTCATTTATAACTTTGCGGAATGATATGGCATAACAACTCGTCGCAAAGTAACCGCACCAATTGAATGATAGAGGCGTAATTATGCTTCGTAATTGCCAGCACTCGAGCTTCTCAGATATAATACAACACAATAGTTCGTGGTGTGGCTTGATACCTTTCATGCTTAAGCTCATTTGTGTATGCTGAAATCCAGATCCAGTGTGTCAGATATTGCACACTGACCTTGTCAGGGGAGTGAGATGGTCAGATTTGTAATTTGAAGCGTGAGGCGTGGCCTCTTTCAGAATGGATGGAGATTTGATCGCTGGATGCTGTTCAGTCTGTAACTGCAGCTACAGTATGCTGTTCAGTCTGCAACTGCGGCTCCGGTATGCTATTCAGTCTGTAACTGCGGTTACAGGATGTCGTTCAGTATGTAACTGCGGTAACAAGATGCTGTTCAGTGCGTAACTGCGGCTCCAGTATGCTATTCAGTCTGTAACTGCG